AAAAGAAGTTTCTGTTAATTACTCAATATATTCTCCCATTGTTTGGATACAGTGAGTGTGTGACGGTGAGGCGGTAGGGTCAGCTGAAGTGAAGAAACATTCCAGAATTCTGACCAAAACCATTGTGCATTCTCATTAAAGCAGTCCAATTAGAACACAGTGCCTGGTATATTCCCTCATTGTCTATCTCTCCTTGACCCCTTAGCAAAGCCCTCTACCTAATTATCTTGCCTGGGAACAATAAGTTAAAGCCTGCTATCCTCAAAGTGGTTCCATGTTGCTAGAACTGTGTGAATGACACTGACCAGTGCTAGATCCTACATCTGTGCTGTATGAATGGACAGGCTGGGTGGTGTCAGTGCGAGTCCCAAGAACACAAACTCCCAACCTAGAGACTTGCCTTTGTCAAGTGGTCTTAGGACCTGCTGATTTTCAGTCTTCTCCTTCCCTTTCTTCTTTACCGATACTTTTTTGTTGTTGAATTGCATACTTCTGAATATGTTACCTCATGAAAACAATGAAGGTTCATTATTTAAAAATTGAATAATACACCATACAGAGAAACTTCCTCCCTCATAGACCAAGACATGACACGCATGAACTGAAATTTGAATCAGATGGCGTTTGTGCAGAACCTTCCCTGAACTCTAGAGGGCACGCTGTCTCTGTTACATGCTGGGATTGTCCCCTGGGCTTCTCCCTGAACTTCCTCACCAGCCTGCATCTGCACAGGGCTTTGTGCCTTGGGTTTGCTTGCTCCCTTAGGGTAACGTAGCAGCATAGAGAGAGACTGTGATCATTTGTTTCACTTTTGAGTCCCCAAGCCTAGCACAGAACTGCTTCATGGAAGATGCCCAATGAATATATGTTGAAAGCACAAACATAAAAAACAAACTGTTTAAACACTTGAATTATGAAAAAATAATTTTTTGGAGCGGTTTTTGCTATAGAGCGTGTGCACTCACCAGAAAGACAGAGACAGAAAGCAAGAAATCACCCCCCAGGAGGGATGGCCATGCCACAATCCTTCTCCTTCATTCTCCTCTCGGGATCTTGGGCATGCACATACGCGCACCCTGTGTGAGTTTAAACCACCAGGTCCAGACTCGAACCGGACTCGAAGCGCGGTCGATTACATGGGAGTCCAGCAACATAGACATTACGCCAACTGCTGGTCCCAAGTGTTCCCTTCTAAAAAATAAACTTAGAAGCTTGTTAGGTAAGTCTAAATGTAGCCACAGACTTTCATATCTGATCTTCCTGCTGTCTCCTACCTTCCCAGGCCAGAGCAATAGTTTTGACAGCCTGCCTCAACCCCAGGAATTTATCCTTCATCCCTGTGGACTGAAAGACGAACTAGGCTTAGACATCTGCTGGTGTCCTACGTGGCTTCAACTACAAAGTGGCCATGGGGTCTTCACCATTAGTCGGAGAAGAAGCTCCATAGTCTGGCCCTGATTCATTTGTCCTGTAAGTAAACTGGGTTGCAACCATACTGAATGAAATAAACAGGTTCTCTAAGGCCCTTTTCTAGTATAAAAATTATATACAAAGTGATTTTTTTTCTTTATTAAAATAATTCTAGTCTTTTGTTTGTTTGTTTGTTTGTTTTTTTATAGTCTGTCAAATTTTCCTGCAATCAGAGATTGGGTCAGACACAGTCACTGAGCAGCTGTCATAGGATCTACATGTTGATAACGAGAAGAGCCACAGGCCACCCGCTCTTTTGCCTAGTGTACCACTGGCACACTCACTGATGTCTTTAGTCCAATTACAGATTTCATGATACCCAAAGACAATGCATGAAGGAGAGAAAGAAAGCCCACCACTACATTTCAAATTAAGTTTTATTTAAATAGGTAAAAAAATACACATCCTTTTTAATAACAAAAACCCAGAATATTTAGTGAATTAATAATATCTGTTTACAATAGTAATTAAAATAGTGGTAACATTTTACCAGCATAAAAATGTCACAGAATTCAAATCATCACTTGCATCTTCAAAGATCCAAGAGTTACATCCACACAGTGTGGTCTGGTAGGTCTGAAGATAAATCTCTTCCTCTGGATATGCATTTCCAGTCACGTGCTTTATCACCGTCCATCAGCTCACACGGTCAGAGAGTCGGCATATGAGGCAATTCCACAGTGGTTGTTCCGGTCTTTGGCCATCATCCCATAGCCACTCAGGCCTCATTTATTACCCTAGCTGAAAAAAGAAGAGGACTTTTTTTTATTTTCTAGAAAGAAAAAAGCACATGATAAAGCTTTATTAGCTTTAACATCTAACTTAAACAGAGACTACAGACTTAATAAAGAGAATCAGGAGAGGCGAATGTTCTTGTTCCTCTGTAAATTGTTCAGTCTGAACCTGCATAAAACGCTCAACCCTGACTCCAAAGCAATGGCCTTTCACAGACCTGTGTAACCAGAGACAGGAAAAGGATAGGATGGCTTTCCAGCCAGATAGGTTTCAGAATTAAGGAACTTTTCACAATGTATATGTTCATTGTTCAAATAATTCTCAAACCCAGCAAGCTTATGACAGCATCTTAATGTTAGAATCCAATGTTTATAGTTCTGTGGTTAACTTAAGTGGAGTAAACACTCCTAGATTTCAGAAGGGTGCTCAAACATTCTGGACCTATATCAAATGCTGATTACACAAAGAATTAATTTTATTTCGAATTTCAAATATAAATATTTCTGGCAATTTACATGTGTTCTTAACCAGCCGAATTTTATTGTTATTTGATGCTCCTTGCATTACACTGTAACCAACCACCGAACCACCTCTTTGCTGCTGCAGGTTGGTTCGTAATAATTGTCTGGGAGGGTAAAGTCAATGCAGTGGCACACCACGGGGATCCACCCTGTCACCCACAGTCAGGGAGTTGCCTGCAGATGCAGGGAAATGACACAAATCCCACATGAATCTTCAAAATAAAGTCTGTTACTGTTAATGCTAGGGAGTTGGGCTCTCATTTAAAGCTGGTAGAAATAAAATAAGCATGAATCCTTTCATAAAAGAACTTCTTTTGCCTAGATGTCTAGGCAAAATCTTTAAAATCTTTCATTTCTAATCATAGGATGTCAGTCTAAGAAATCAGCAGACTACTTGAACCAAGAAGTTATTTTTACATTTAGTAACAGAAGTAAAATTTTTAGGGAGCCAGACAGTGTGCACCAGTAATTCAATACACACATTGGAAGGTTGTGGGTTTGCATCTGGAGACCTCCCTGGATACACCTGAAATGTGCATACCCATAAATTAGAGCTGGCTGATGCAGGGGATGGGTTGCAGCATGAAGACCCTCTTAGGGGTGCCTGTTTCATTCTCTCTCTCTCTCTCTCTCTCTCTCTCTCTTTCTCTCTATTAGTGAGGAAAGAAATTAATAAACTTTCTTTAAATTATCAGAAAATTTTTAAGAATCCAACATATGGAAAAAATTAATCAAGCTATACTAAAAATTACATAGCTCTTACAAATTATGGAGTATTTATATTCATGGAAATATATTTAAATTAATGTCAAGTGGAAACATCAGGTACAAATATTGTGTGTACAGAATAAATGACTATGTGAAACCACGCATCCAAATATTTACATTCTATTTTATACAGAAAGGAGTCCATCACTCTAGAATAACATGGTAGTTTCCAATATTTCTCCATACTTCCTGTGAGGAAAACGCTTACCATGTCTATAAGAATGATGGTGTGAATTGATACCAACAGAGATGGGCCCCACAGTTGCTGCTGCCCTCTCTTTGGCCTTCTCTTTAGTAGGGATATGTTCAAAGCCAGTCACAGTAGCATCAGAATTCTTGGGAGTGCACCTACAGGTGCCTTCCTTTTAAAGGTAAAAGGGAATGACAATAGATTATTGCCAGCCACCTCCTAGGGAACATGTCCCACCACATGGATCAGTTAGCAGCTTAGGATTTCCAAGTCAGCACTGTTTTAAATTGTTTTGGAAGTAAAATCAATCAATAGCAATGGATTTGAAACTGAAAATTAATTCATGGCTTTTCAATGAGACTTACTAGGTCAACCTGTCCATAAGAAATTTTCCACAATGAGCAAAGTCTGTGTTATGTGTAGACTGGTTTATTTACCACATTACATAATCAGACATTCTTATTTATGTTAACCATCTAACCAAAGAACTGTACAAAGGCTAACGATTTATAGTGATAGTACTGATAGCTTGCAGACATAGATTGCAGCATCTAAAACGTGAATTCTGAAGAAGGTATTTGTTATCTCTGACTCTCTGGAATTCCAAAATCAGAACTAAAGTTAACTGCAAGATAAGAAGCTACCACTGCCTCATGTGGAGAGGACTCCTCTGAGTCCAGACCTCCATTGTCCTTAACATACTGGAAGGTATAAGACATCAGGCCACTGTTAAAGCCAAAACTGACGAGAGGCTGAAGACAGTCCACAGGTTCTGCTCACTCAGTGAGACAAATTTGCCAGTTTCTTGGAACATCTGTCCTTCAAGAGCACCAGTTGCACTAAAAGCCCAACAAGAAATACACTGAGCCAGAAAAAAAAATTAAAAAGTTGTCCTGTACAAAACAAGTACCAAGACTTTGACAATTCCCGTATCTGAATACTCTTTTATAAATAATAAACTGCACATCATTCCACTGTGCACCAAGGCAAAGATACCAATTCCTTCCTGACGTCCTGTGGAGCTGGAGGTCTGAATCAGACGGACACCATCATACCTGATCCTTCACAGGAGTCACATAGCCTTTCTGTCTCCAATCCACAGCTTCGGGGACCTCCAGATGCAGAAGTTGCTGGAACACGCCCCCTGTCTTGTGCTTCCTCTTTAAAAAGCCATTCATCACATGTCTGGTTTCTTCATTGTTCTTCAAGGAAAAACAATTGATGAAAAGCAAGACATTATTTGGGTAACCAAACTGAGGAGAGGAAGCACAGAGTTAAGAGTTCCAGACCACACTCACCATGTCTCCAAAGGCGTTAATTGCTATGGTGAAGCTAAATTTTGCTTGGCTGTATTCTAGATTGTGGCACTCAATGATTTTCATATTCTTCTCCCACACACCTCCCCTCCATCCTTCTTCACCCTAGATGCAAACATACAACTGGTAGTCTTTATCTCTTTAAAACTGAACCCATGCTCACCAATGGATTTGCAGAGATGGAAGGGAAACCATGGTCAAGATGGCTTTATACTTCTGGAAGCTATTCTCCAAACTCAGACACAACAGAGATGGATGTCCTTATTATGCTCATAATGGGTGTTACTAAATTATTGCTTTGGTAAGGGTTGGCCTCTAAAAGCGTCTCTCTTTATGTAAACCAACAGGAAGGAATATTTTCTCTGGCTCTCTCTGGGCAATTTCAGGTGTTACCAACCGTGCCATTTACTTTCCCACGTCTTGCATTCCACTGGTTCCATTGTTTATCTAAACCTTGGTCAAGTGTTGGAAAAGCTAAGGCTATTCCCAAGCACAGGACAGCCAGGAAGATTAAAGGATCCATGTTTCTAAAACCTGGGTAGGAAAAGAAATGAGTCTCTGGTTAGACTAATTCTTACAAATAGCCATTTTACTCTCCTAGAAATTAAAACAACTATGGCAGAAAAAAAATAAACTATTCTCCCATGTTTTTACTTAAGGTCTATGGAAGAGACGAAGGATGTGATGGGAGGAAAACAGGACACACAGGTGTTGACTAAGCTACAAATATGAAAAACAGCCTGTTCAGAGCCCTAGGAACTGATAAAGTGTATGCAATAATAATTGAGGTTAGAAGAAAGGATAAAGGATACAAGTACTTGAGGGGTCAGAAGCTTGAAGAACAAGTAAGAAAACAGGAAGCACTAGGTTGGTCTAGGTTTTATACTAATTGTACTGAGGCCATCTATGCAAAACCTCCATAGTGAGGACATTTCATTCTAAGTAGAGGCGAAGAAATCCTGAACAGATGGAAGGCCATCCCATACCTTCTCCTTGGCAAATGTGCAGCAAAAGATGAGATGTGTTCTGGAATTTTCCCTTCTTGAATGAAATATTTCTGGAATGCCTTCCCAAGAGAAACTGGGAAGGAGCGCACCCACCACTCTAATCAGTCCTTACTTGGGTCTCTGCTGCCAATGTCACCACTCACTCCTCCAAACTGAGGCGGAGATCTGGCAGCACTGCTAGAAGCCAGAGCTCCCAGTGCCAACATTTCAACAGGGGCAGGCAGCTTCTGGTCACTGGGTTCATCCTGGGTAAGGCATTCCAAGCAATGCTCTAGGCAGGGAGATAAGAGGCCACCTTCTCTCATCCTCCTCATATGCCCTCTATGGCCAGGGAAAGTTTGAGTTGGTGTAGGGAGGAAGTGGCACCATGATCCAGCTACAGGAATGGAGCTACCCTGAAGGCACAGCCAAGCCTAGACGCTGACTGACCTGCACAATTCAAACCCCATCAGGTCTAGGCTCCTTTCTGGGTTCCCCAGTCACTCTCCCTTTTTCCCAGCTCAAGGCTGGCAGAGCTCCAGGCAGATGCTCTTCTTCCTGGAGGTTGTAGCAGCCTTTTTTTACAAGCATCTTCATCTCTTCTTACCATTCCACCTCACTTAGGCCTGGCTAGGGGTGCTCACCTGCAAAGCTCACAGCTGCTAATACTCACTCCACAGGCTGCTCTTCGGAGGTGGCTGGTATCTGGCCCAACTGAACCTGCCTCAGGCTTTAAAGCCCCAAATCTGAATCCAGGCTGGAATTGCTTACATCAGAGGACCCACAGGGAGGTCACCTGAACATCCTGGGGCAGCACAGAGGAGAATTGGTCACTTCTCTGTATGATTCCCAGCAACGAAGTACTCTGACTCAATGTGCCAAATGGGTGGTTCTTGAAAAGAAGTTTATAGCAAGTCCAGTGAAGATTTTCAGCCTATAGCAAGCCCAGTGTAGATTTTCAGCCTATAGCAAGCCCAGTGTAGATTTTCAGCCTATAGCAAGTCCAGTGTAAATTTTCAGCCTATAGCAAGCCCAGTGTAGATTTTCAGCCTATTTTCAGCCTATAGCAAGCCCAGAGTAGATTTTCAGCCTATACCTGCTTTTCCTTTAGGCCAAGAGTCAGGTAAAATTTCCTGCAGGGCCGAGAGCAAGCGTCCTCTAGTCTAGTGGTTGCTGTTTCGTCCATAGCAAATGTGGAAGAATGCAGACCCTGTGGGCAGATGCCTTATCTCTACCTTTTATGACCAGATAAAGAGGATTTAGAAGAATCTGGAAGGAAAAGGCAATCCCTGAAGTTTGTGATGGTTTGAACAAGGGCCTAACCTCTGTAGGGAGAGAGACTGGATGAGTCCCTGAGGCTGCCTGGCATTTCCTAATGCATCCTTCCCTGTCTCCTGTGCTCAGGGAGTCTTCCTCCCTCCAAAACCAACAACAATTAGTTATTTACATAAAAATGTGGTTAATACAAAAGGGGGAAGCAATCAAGAACACTAGAAACTGCTTTTATTCTGCCTCTCTCTGCTTAAGGTACTATGATACCTTCCTCAGTACCTAAAATGTTCCCTTTACATTTAACTTAAGAAATTTACTGTAATAGCATTTAATATCAAGATTTAAGAAACAGAGAATTGAAAAACGTTTAGATATACTGTATATATGTGTGTGTGTGTGTGTGTATCTATACACATATATATAATCTTAATTTATATAATTAAACATTTAAAGAACACAACACAGAAATGCTCTAACCATTCGTGTTTTTTTCTCACATAAAACATCATACTCAGCATAGAAAATACCTCATGGTGGAAAAAAATCATCTTTGCACAAGTCTTTTCCCCGATAACCTTTCTTATGTATATTTTTACTTCTTTGGTAAAAATGAACCATAGCCCATTTTGTGGGAAGTTCACAAGAACATAAGTAAACTTACTCAGGGAAGAACCCAGGATAAAGCCTCCAGGATAAGTTTTTACAAAACAGGAAGCAGACTTTCTGTGCCTCCCTCTGCCACCTCTTCCACACTTACCTGAATCTGATAACCCCCTACATTCCTGAGAAACCACCCTCCCATCAGGACCCAAGCTCAGAGAGTTTATCCTTACCCTCCCCCTTACACTACCCAAAAGCTAAGACCCTCCCTGCCATGAGGCATGGGCACAATCAGGTCTTGACTCAGATAGTCTCACCTGACTTCAGATTACATCTCCGCCTCTGTTAAACTCTTTTCCCCTTGTGCACTGACCAACTGCACCACTTCACATTTCTATTTGTAATCTAAATTCTACTTAAGATTAAATTGATAACCCGTACAGCAGCACAATCAAACCTATTATTTTTATTGTGGTAAAATATGATATAAAAATTAACATTTTGAGGGGACCAGCAGTTGGTGGACAATGGCTATGTCACTGGACTCCCATGTAGTCGAACACCACAGTTCAAGTCCTGGACCCAGTGGCTTAAACTCATGCCGGGCACATGTGCGTGTGTGCCCAAATGTAGCAGAAGGGATTGCGGCGTGGCCATCCCCCCAGGGGGGTGATTTCTCTCTTTCTGTCTCTCTGTCTCTCTCTGTCTTTCTGGCCAGTGCACGTGCCCTCAAAAAAGAAAATAAATAAGTAACATTTTGACTATTCTTAAGTGCTCCACAGTGGCTGCACCATTTTACATTAAAACCACCAAAGCATAAGAGTTTTGATTTCTAGACATTGCACCAATACAATTTATTTTCTTTCTATTGAAAGTAGCCATCTTTTTTTTTTTTTTTTTTTTTTTTTTTTTTTTTTTTTTTTGGTTTTTAGGGCACATGTGCACATGTGCTCACTGAGGAGAGATAGCAAAAGTGAGAAATTGCCCTCGAGGCAGGATGCCCCTGTCACAATCTCTTCTTCTCCATTCTCCTTCATGCCTGATATGATTTTTCAAGCCTCCAGGTCCAAGACTCAAACCATGATTGGTCATGTGGGAGTCCAGTGCCTTAACCACCATACCACCTCAAAGTAGCCATCTTAATGTGTGTTGTGTCGCATTATGGTTCTGATTTGCACTTCTCTAATGATTAGTATTACGGAGCACCTTTTTATGTACATGCTGGTCATTTGTATATCTTTCAGAAGAATGTCTATTCAAGTCTCTTGTCCATTACCTAATTGGGTTATTATGTTGTTAAAGTTCAGGAGTTCTCTATGTATTCTGTGTACTACTTCTTTACCAGATTTATGATTTGCAAATTTTTCTCACATTCTATGAACTGTTTTTTCATTATGTTGATACTATAATTTAAGGCATAAAATTTACTTTTGATCATATTCAATTTATCCACTTTTGAGATTTTTGCCATCAGGCACATGCATTCACCCAAGAGATAGTGAGAAGAAAAGTGAGAAATCACTCCCTCAGGGGGGATAGCCATTCCATAATTTCTTCTCCATTGTCCTCTCTGAATTTTGGGCATGCACGCACACACACACACACACACACACACACACACACACACACACCAGGCATGATTTTCAAGTCTCTGGGTCTGGGACTTGAACCACAGTTGGTTATGTAGGAGTCTAGCACTTTAACCACCAAGGCACCTGCTGGCCCCTGTATTGTCTATTTAAACAACATCTGTTAAGTAGTACAATACAGGGACTGGCAGGTGGTGTGGCCATCAGAGGTGCTGGATTCCAACATGGCTGACCACAGTTTGAGTCCTGGACCTGGTGGCTTGTTTTCTCAATTTCCCTCTCTCTCTCTGTCTCTCTCTGGTCAAATTCAATAATAAAGAAATAAATAAAGTTAAATAAAATAATTCAAAAAATAGTGCAATACAGAAAGTTGGTATTGCTAACTATTCAGTTCTCATTCTACTCTTCAATCCCCCTTTAATGCAAAATAACTCTGGTGAATGCTAACTTTTTTAATGGTCACATTTTAGTCAAGTGACCAAGACTTGACTTTAATAAAATCCAGTTGGTAAAACTTCTTGATTCCTATTTTAAATGCCGTATCTCTGCAAGTGTATTCTCATTTGCATCTGTATAGATTTATTTTTCTTATATCTTATAATTCTTTACCCAGTCTCTGGAAACTTTTAACTGTATAGAAACTCGTAATTTTAGTGTGCTGGTATTCAATACACTAATATCACTTCATGCCTTTCCTCAGAATAACAACCCCCTCCCACTTACTTAAATTCGCTGAGTCAAGATCTTCTTAAAAAGCATTACCTTGTTATTTTTGCTCAGGTAGGAAACTAGACTTAAAAAAGATGAACACAAACTATCAGAGTGGAGTGAATGATTTTTCAGAAGTCCCAAACTTAATTTATATAGAGGAAATTACCCTTGTTTTGGTTTTTGAGAGGGCAATATAGAGAATTGTGGATGTTTGATTATATGGTTCTATTTCCTTTTTATGGTCTCAAATTATTTTTTTTTCTTTTCTTTTTCTTTTTTTTTTTTTTTTTGAGAGGTTTTTATGTTATACGGTGTGTGCACTCTCCAGAAAGATAGAGAGAGACAGAAAGCGAGAAATCATCCCC